AGGACTTTCCCCATGCGATGGTGGCGCAGCGAGGTGGCTGAGTTGCTGCTGACAGAGCGGCAATGACCCCTTCGAAGGACCTGGCAACATTCATCCGACTGGTGCAGGGTGGGTCTGAAAAATCCACTCGGCAGCCACCATGAGACTAACGTGAGTCACATCTCGGGCACGGTTAGCAGCAACTGAGCCAAGTGATCTGGATGGTCTTGATGACTGAGTTTAAAGGAGAAATGGAGATCAAAATGCCTAGGATGGTGTTTCAATCTTAGTGATCGCAACCACCTCCCTTGACTTACAGCAACATACTTCTCTTCCATGTCGTGACTGTGAAACATGTTTACCACCAGCCCCTAACTGTTCACGATACAGAGTTTGATCCGTAGTGCTGTGGTAAACGGCGGGCTGAGAACAGCAGTCCATGCTAGGAATCATCGCCTTGACAGTCAGCCATGCAATGGAAACGAGCTGCTGCCCAGCTGAGAGCCCGGCAGCAGGATTGAGGGCCACGCTGCTCAGTGACCATTTCTGAGTGCCAGGAAATCTCTGTGTGCCACCATTACAGAGCTGGCAACTGCACAATAAAGACCTCTGAGGAAGCTAGTATCTAGTGTACTCATTCTGATCTCACAGTCATCTTTTTTAAACGTTATTGAGCAAACACTGAAGCCTAATCAATCATCTTTTATTTAATTGCATCTTGTCACCACTTTAACTTAACATGTATTCTTTGCTTAGCCAAAACAACATGATTGAAACACAATGAAGAGCTCACTTGATGCATTTATATTAGAGAGGGGTTAATTTCCTAGGGAAAATGATCACTGTAAGGTGCATGTAATAAACTGCTGTCATGACCTCTAGCCTTCAAGCTCCCATATGTGCAATCATTGTTTGTGGTTTCTGTGGAAGTGCCAGATGCTAAGAATTTTTGGCAAGAGTTTATCAATTTGACTCAGTGTAAGATATTACTGTGATATGGCCCATTAAACATCTTACTTTCACCTGATCAGTGACATTTCCCTTGACAATAGAAGAGTAAAGCAGAAATCAAAAAGGTCAGAGGTTGCCATATAATCTTTTACTGCAGGTCTCAGGTTAAAACCACAATGATCACACTCCAGTAGGATAATTCATTCCACATAAAAAAAGTGACATTTATTTTGCTTTAATGAACTTTGGCCTTTGCCAGATATAACAGGTCCGCTGGAAATCACTGGCTATGCATTCCTTCCCTTGACCAGCAGCAACCCACAGTGGCATGGAAAACATTACACATGCCAGAGGGCTTGACTGTGTCATGCACATGGCACCGGAGATGGCAGAATATGGGGGAACAAACAGCTAAGGCATCACCATACAACACACTGAGGGAAGAGGAGATGGTATGTATAAGCAATGAAAAAACAAAAAGATAGCAAGCAGTCGTCAAAAAAAAAAAATCAGCAAAAGATTATGGTTACTTCAGCTATAAAATGGGATATCTGATTCTGTCCTTGGAAATGGATTGCTTTTTCACTGTCCAGCCCAGAAGCAGAGGTAGAGTTGGGACAAGGCAGTTCTCCAAACTGTAGGTCACATAGTTCTCGCTTAAGTCCCTGTAAACGCTAAAAATGCCATTTTGATCCTGCCAGTAATCAGGGATGAAGCCAGGTTGTGTCTGTGTGTAGAGTCTGTAAACCTGGTGTGTTTGAGATGGTGAAGATGCTTTTCTATGACTCTAAAATAGCACAGCAGAAGGATGGGGAAGAAAACTTGATGAAACCATTGAGATCGGACATGACAAATATTTCTAATGTGCCACATGAAATCTGCTTGCCTTCTGCCCTGCAAGCAGTGAGGATCACCTGAGTTCTTTACAGATGTTTGCTATCATGCAGAAAGAAAATAAATTATTTATTTTGATACACAAGGAAAGGGAAAAATAATTGAAGGGGAAGGGTAAGAAAAGAAAATTCCTCCAATTTCAAAACACATCCAGGGGCTCACGTCCTTCACCTGAAAATCCCCATCCCTGTCACAAAACGAGAGAACAGTCGCTAGCAAAAGCAACGGACCCATCTCCCTGGGCATGCAGCCTGCCGTTCGGGCTGTGGTCGCGGAGGGAGGAGATGGGAAGCTGCAGGGAGCAGAGCGTCA